TGGACGATGTTGAGGCACATGAGAAGTACCAAAGAGATCAAGAACCTGCAGTTGCTGAACAGAAGGTTAGGTTTATTTTCTCATTTTTATGGTGATGAACAGATGGTTAGTTTTCACTTATTAGTTGTCACCCTCTTTTTTCCCCCTTCTCAAAACTCTGTATAACTGGATGTAGTGTTATAAGATAGAAGTGCATGTGTCTGCTAAAGCTAAAGATTACTTTTTCTATGTTATTGTCCATGAATGCCTGTGAGGAGTTCAGGTTGCTTTTCCATGGCATGCTAATATGTGACTAGTACTGAACTGAATGGACTATATGTTAATTGTTTCACTCGTATTTTATTTGGTTCAACTTCAGGTCAGTGACAATTCTAACCGAGATAGGCCAAGTGACTCAGCAACGTCTGACGGTGATGCCAAAGTTACCAATGATGATGATGATGACGAACTGGACATAGATGAGTTAAACGAGTTAGAAGCAAGCTTATCTAAGGTAACAATTCAAGAGCCGGGCACTACTGCTTAATCCAAGAGTGGCAATCTAAAGTCTGCATCCATTTTTGAGTGTGGACCCGGTGTTATATGGACTGTGAACTTATGGCCCCCTCAATGAGGGCAACCTCTCTGATGTTCTCCGAGCGGTTATAAAGTTCACCCATAATTGTTCATACCGTCCTTATGGATCATTAGGTGCTTTTGTGTAATATCTACTTTTCCATGGAGGATTGTCCCATACTTGAGGACATAAAAATAATCGTTGCCCTGTAATTTACCTGAGCTTCATAGGATGCAAGTGATGTCTCCTTTCAGTGTATGATATTTTAGTTAACGATGTCAAAGCATGTAAGCAACGTTTCGCCCGAGATTATGCTAGTCAAGTGCTAGGTCTTGCGCTTCCAAATGCTTGGTGCTAATCTCCCTTATGTGGTGATTGTTGTGCGAAAACTCCCTTTGATCTTGTTCTCAATGGACTATGTAACAAACCTCCACAACTCACAAGGATGAATGAAACACTCACACACTCAAAAAAAAAAAGCAAGCATACAAAGAACACATAATTGTATAGAGGTTCAGCAAGTTGCCTACATCTTCTTGGTGATCCCCTTGAGAAAATTCACTAATGAAAGAATATGTTACAGCCTTGATTTACAAAGAAACCCCCGTAGAACTCTATTCTCTCTCCAAGCTCTCTTTTCTCTCACCTCTCTGCTAAAACCCCTGATGCTCTTGTTAATTCTCTCACTTAGTTTTCCCTCTTGGTTTCTAGACTTACAAGACTCAAACTCTCAGCTCCCCTTTTGGCTGATTACTCTCTCCTAAAGTTGTATTCTCTGCACTTTCTACTTAAATAGACAAGTACGGAGCTTCCCTTCAGCTGCTACCTCACCTTGCCAACAACCCTCATGATTGTCTTGTGCTGAAAAGTCTTCACATCATCCACCTTTGTCTTGTGCTGAAAAGCTACAACACAACAACTGCACATATTCATTGCATTTAGATGTCCAGCTGCTCCTATCAATACCTTAGATGCCCAGCCACCCCTATTAATGCTAGGGATAGTAAGTCATGCACCTAGAGCTACAACAACATGCTGGAGGTCACACCTAGAGCTATTACAAGTCAGTTCCCCCCCTTACTAAACTAATTCCTAACCCCTAAAATAGCTCACTAGCTTACCGACAAACTTATTGACTTTAGGGTTACAAAACTATTTGGAATGAGAACTGAAAACATGTGGAAAACTATGCCAAAACTAAAGAAAAAACGCATGCATGAAAATTGCATGTGCTCTGGCAATTTGCAATGGTCTATTTGTCAATTGCATTCTTTCTTTTGCATCTTAGGTGAGCCAATTTTATCAACAGTGATACGGTTGCTTGTTCGGCTTCATTTGGTCTCAACAACCAAGAACCCCGGCGAGTGAATCATAAAGTTTCACCACCGGATCCACCATGACGGATTAATCCTCTTGGACGTGAATTACATGTTACTTTGAGAGAGGTTATAAGTTTCACTGCAAACGGATGAGCCTTAACTCCAATAGTAGAAAACTTACTCTTGCGTCCACGGCAAGGGTTGGACTTTCACCCTCCGGTCTCTCTAAACCGTCGTCCTTCTTTGAGCAAAGAAAGAAACACAAAATCAAGTATCTGTTATATGGTTCCACAAGTACCACAAAGATTAACCAA